TTATTGGGATTTTAAACACCGACAGGAAAAAGATGGGTAAATTAGCAAGTGTGGCCTTAATAAGTGTAATTCTCCCACCGAAAGAGAGGTAGTTCTTTTTCCAGGATACCGGTCTTTTTTCAAACATTTCCACCACCGGGTTCCAAAAGCTCTCTCTCATAGGATTATCACATAATGGAAACCCTAAGTAGTTCAAAGGCCACCCCGAAACTTCACACCCCAACACTTCAGCACTCTCCCTGATCTCTCCCTCCTCCAAGTTTACCCCCACTACACAGCTTTTCCCAAGGTTAACCTTCAAGTTAGACATTTACTCAAATAGTTGTATCACCAACTTCAAATTCCTGATAAAACTCACATTATCGCCTTCACAAAATAGAATCGTGTCATCAACAAACTATGAGTGAGGGGGGTTTCCACCCTCCCAACTCTCCAACCTCTAATGAGCCCCATAGAATCTGCTCTGTGAATCAGTTTCCCCAAAACCTCCGCAATTAGAATGAACAAGAAAGAAGACAGGGGGTCTCTTTGTCTTATACTCCTACTGGCTGGAAAGAAATCTACCACTGTTTCATTCACTAGCACTGAATAATGACAACTCCTGACACAACCCATGATCCACTTGCACCATCTAGCCCCAAACCCAAATTTAGTCAAAACTTTCCTCAAGAAATACCAATCCACGAAGTCATAAGCCTTTTCCAAGTCCAACTTACAGACCACTCCCTTCTTCTTATCCCTCTTAAAGTTCTCCACACTCTCATTAGCAATTAAAATATGATCAGTAATTTGTCTTTCACTCACAAAGGCTCCTTGATAGTGTGCAATGATATCGGGTAGTACCTTCTTTAGCCTCAAAGACCACTTTTGCAATGATCTTATACAAGCTATTAACCAAGCTAATTGGCCTAAAATCCTTTGGGTGGGATGCATCTTTCTTTTTTGGAATTAGGGCTATAAATGTAGAGTTCACACCCGGATTGACAATTCCTCTCCTGAAAAACTCTTCAAACACCCGCAAGAGATCATCTTTCAAGATATCCCAACAGTCCTGATAAAAAGCCATTATGAACCCATCCGGCATTGGAGCTTTTGTTCTATCCATAGAAAACACAACCTTCTTGATCTCTTCTAGAGTAAAGCTTCTTTCCAATCTTCTCCTATTTTCCACCTCTACATCTGGCCAATCCAAACTTTCTACCCACACCCTTCTATTCACAGGCCTTCTTGGAATAGATTTGAAGTGCTCCACACAGGCCTTGGCAATCTTCTCTTGTTGTACTAACTCGACTCCATCTATTACCAATTTGGAGATAAAGTTCTTCATTCTCCTGCCATCTACTAGAGAATGGAAATACCTAGTGTTTCTGTTTCCCTCTTGCAACCACTTACACCGAGATTTTTGCCTCCAACTAATTTCCTCCTTGTGCAGACAATCCTCTAGCTGTCTTCTCAAATCTCTTCTGAGATCATTGTCTTCCTCTCCAAATTCTCCCATTTCTTCTTTAGAGTCAAGGCTTTCAATCTTATCCATCAGATCTCCCTTTCTTTCTTCTATCCTCCCAAACTCCATCAAATTCCACTCATTGATTCTTGTTTTTAAGAATTGTTGTATCTCATGGAATCTCATCCCCTCCCATTCCACCAGTGGGTTACAGTCATGCCACCACTCCCTCACTTTGTTAGTAAACCCTTGATGAAGTAACCGTATATTTTCAAATCTAAATGGGGTAGGACCTCCACACCTTCTTTCCTCCTTACATAATACTATGGGCYAGTGATYTGAGGTCACCCTTGGGAGAGCTCTAGAAGCCAAGGTTCCCCAATGTTCTTCCCAATCCAATGAGAACAGAAATCTATCCAGTTTAGAGCAAATGGGTCTAGATTGGAGATTTAACCATGTAAATGTCTTATGGGTTAGGGGAATCTCTTTAAGCTCAAAGGCATCCACAAAACTGTTAAACTTCCTCATGCTTTTTGTCACCCTCTGGTTAACCTTATTGGATTCCTTCGAGAATCTGATCACATTGAAATCCCCACCCATGCACTAAGGCCCATCCCACAATCCTCTAACATCAACCAATTCCTCCCACAACTCTCTCTCTCTATAGTCATTCGGTCCGTAAATATTTGTGAGCACCCATGTATAGTCATCCTCTTGCTGCTTAAACTTCATAGAAACTGAGTACTTTCCGATCAACTCTTCCAGACCTTTCACCACATTCCTCTTCCACATTGTTACAATCCCCCCAGAAGCACCCCACGAGGGAGCAGCCACCCAACTAATTCCCCTGGCTTTCCATACACTCCTTGCCCATTTATCATTAAACTCCATTCTCTTAGACTCTTGTAGCAACACAATATCTGGGTCACACCATCTTATTACCTCTTTTATTGTCGCCCTCGTCCTTGCACTCCCAATTCCCCTCACATTCCAACTAAGAATCTTCATTCCGCTTCTTTTTAAACCCCTTGCCACCTACTACTACTTTCCCCTTTCCTTCTATCTCCATTTACCCCCAACTTCCCTACAAATTCTGCTATCCTGTCTTCTCTCACCGAGTCCACCACCCTTACCCTTCCTACAGAGTCCCCTCCATCTCTATCCACCTGCCCTTTCTTCCTCTCCTCTGGTCCCACCTCTATTCTTTCCTCTCCATCACCTCCCTCCATCCCTACTCTCTCCCCGTAGTCATCTCCATCTCTACCCTTATTCCTTTCCCTCCTCTTCACTAACCCCTCCCCTCTTCCTACCTCCCCTTCCCTTCTCCAGATCAGCTCTCATTCCACTTCCTTAAGAACTCTTTCAATAATTTCCCACACTTTTTCACTCCTATACCTTCCTTCCRGCACCTTCCCACCTTCCTTCCTTCCCGTCTCCCCCTCCTCGGAGAGCCTGTCTGCTAGGTCAACTACATATTCATGGGCTACAGAACATGGAACATGAACGAAATCTAGAACCAAAGACACTAGAGACACATTAGTAGCACAAACCGAAATCACTTGGTTACCTGGGACTGATGGACAAGCTAGAAAAGGGCTGCTCCCTGCCTTCCTCTCTTGTTCCAGAGGTTGGTAAATATTTATCTCACTGAGTTGGTTGGGAAGTACTTCTGTCCTTTGGTCACCTTGGTGATCTTTCCACTCTACCCCTGATTCACCCCTTGATGGTTTGTTCCTGCTTCGCTTCCGGTTCTCCAAGTCTACCCCTTCTGATACTCTTTGCACACTCTGTGGTCTTGGGAGTAAGTTGAACCRCTTACAATCGTCACCCTGAAATAAACTTGCAATATTCCACCCATCTATATCACCTCCAGCGCAACTACCTTCGTCGTTTACACTGCCCATGCTAGTACTATCAACAGAATAGTCCTTTGAATCTTCATCACCTTCATTGCACTACGCCCAACCTTCATCCTTCTCTTCCTTCTCTTYAGTTCTTCCCCTAACGTAACTTGGCTTCGGCTTCTCTGAGGGGCGTCACAGGGGGTTAAGCTCCTTCAACCTTCATCGGGAAACCCACTGCAGATCGAGCTTCTTCTCCACTTTCTGGCGCTACGCGTGTTCCCCCCTGTCTCACGACTGGGGACAATGATAGACCATTAACATCATCTATCATAGTCGTGTCCCCAGTCACGTGATTTATTAAAGCTCACACGCCTTTTTAAAACACTGGATCAGGCCCGCTGACCCAAATGGGCCTTTAATCGCACCCAAAACATTTCGAATGGGCTTTGGCTTTGGCCCATTCTTAAGCCACTGCGACCTCACGTGACTTTTAAAAGGGTCACACACGTCCAACCCTAGGCTCGGTTTGGTTTTAACCGGTCTAGGTCCAGTTCTTCCTTGGATTGGCTCCTTTTCCTTATTCAAACAGATCAGATTGGCGCTGGTTACAACCTGTGCAAAAGACCTGCCACCCTCCAGACTATTCACTGCTCCCACACGCATAAAACCCACCCCTGAATGTTACCCTTTTGTTTCTCCAGCCTTTGTTTTCCCATTTTAGTGAAAGTTCTTTTCTTATTTGAATCAACCAATCCCTTCTTACCATGCAGTTCTTCTTCAACCTTCTCATCTCCCTCCCTACGAGCCTCTTTCCAAAGCACCGATTCAGTGGATGAAGCCAACCACAATGAATAACAAAGCCCTTCAACTAGCACCTCTATCTTCAGAGGAATCTCCTCAGGTTTTACACCATTCAATAAAATGGAAGCTGAACAAAAGTCTCCCAAAAGGCACCTGCTAAAGATCCTCCACTTCATCCTTTCGATGCACCACTTCATCCTTTCACCTCGGCTCGTTCAATTTGGCAAGACTTAATCTATTGCTCGTCCACCTATGTGGGTTTGGAAAATGTGGATTTGAATTTGAGAGCAGACATTTTATGCAAAACTCGCACACACACCTTGAATTTGAGAGTATGAGGATTACATACTTGACCTTTTTTCTTTACAATACCAATACCTTGAACTTTGTTAATGACACCAGGGAAAAGGAAGGATTCAGTAGGAGTGCATATATCCTTTCTTGTAGTGCAGTTGAACACAAGGAAGAAAGTAAAGGTACAGGCTACCATTACTGAAAAAATAAAGAATGAAAAGAGATCTGTAATTGATGATTCTGGGACTGTTAATCTTGAGGCAGTAAAGCACCAGAAGGCACAGGCTACCCCTTCTCACAGAAGGAGCTAACTGAAACTGGAGGTGTTGATAGAGGATTGCCTTGCTTCTCCAATATCCATGCTTTCTCTCACTTTACCAAATTGTAACGAACTAAGCAACCAACTCTGGATGCCATGGCCATGCCAAAAAAGAAAGGAAGAGAAAGAAAGGCTTGAATTTATTTATTTTCTTGATAACATGCACCACCCTTAAAGTGTTATAACAGCATGGATGCTGGCTTCCATCTTGTATTTTGGTTCCGAACATCAAAAGTGATATACCTTCAGAGCTTGTACATTAGACCATCCACAAGTTGCCAAAATCCAGTATAGGAGCTATGGCGTAACGACTTGAAATTAATTGCATACAAACAGCTTCGACTTACTATTTTACATAATATAGAAGAGTGGGAACCACCAGAAATAAGAAGGTTGATGGTCTCTCATGCCACTGCTTCATCATCAGGAAATAAAATGAGGATATTGAAAAAAAACAAGAGTAAGAAAATTGGAAAAAGCAAGTAGCAAGTGGAACTACCAAATGGAATTTGATGACATACAGATAAGCAATACATAAAAGCAAAGAGATACATGATTATACAAACTCCTCAAGGAGGCATTTATAATGTTGCAGTCTTTTCTCCTCTATAAGTTGGTAGCTATCAAAGTTTCACATACATGTTCCAAGGGGATAAACATCACAGCCAATGTCTCCATCCATTAGCGTTACCTCATCCCTTTCCTGCACAAATAAATCCAATTTTGTCATCAATGAAAAATGTATAGATACAGATTTTGTAACAACTGTAAAATTTATTTGAAAAATAAATGTTAATACACAATGGGTTCCTTGAGAAGCATACAAAAGGTCGATATTTCTCTTCCTCATTATTTCATCATTTAATAAAGCTCATTGATTACTGTTACTCATAAAGAATTGATTATACAACAGAACAACGTAGTAAAAAGAAACTATTAAAGGTTTTCTTGCCAGAGCAACATCAATTTGTATTCAATACATATATATGTGATATATGTCCAACAGAGGGTAATATTAAGGAGGTCACTCATCGGTGAATATGATGTTGCCACATTTATTTATAGCAAAACAAGTAAATTGTTATAGCAACACCAAGTTAAAAATTCCAAACTATTCTAAGAAACACAACAATTCTTCTGAGAAGCTCAGGTGTAAACAAGAAAATATGCACAGATGGAAAAGAGACATTAATATAAATACTATATTTCATATGTGATCATACAAGACTGACATAGATCATGCACTACAGGGCATGTAAAAAGGAGAATCCATTTTCTGAAATACATGCCAGTCATTTTATTTAGATAAAATTTATGCTATTATGTGTCAGTGTCTCTGGTTTCAAACTGTATGACATGTACTTGTTAACGTCAATAAGTTATTTTACCGAAAAATGTCAATCAGTTCTTCCAATTATATAGTTTTCATCTCGAGTAGCTTGGAAATAACTCTTACTCCAAGTACCATTTTATATTGCACGCTTAAACAAAGTTGACGTAAAAACATGTGTCATGATATAAACTAACGTATCTGTTCACTCTTCTGAATTGACCACATCAGACAGATGTTATATCAGTTTCCTACACTGTTACATGATGACATCCTTGTCTCTTAACTAATCCACTGCTAGGTGGCCTTTAGAAGTCTCAAGTATGATAGCTCTAAAGTCTGATTACATCTCATTCAAATTAGAACTTATTTTTATGTCTGAACTATTTGCATCTAAGGTCTGACTAGATCATCATGTCAGAGTTAAGTCACAAGTAGATCCCTAGAGTTTACTGGTTAGGAATGATTCACAAGGATCATAAATACCCAATTAAGGCTGTAGGAATATATAGAAGAGAAAGACAAACAAACAGTAACCAAGCAAGTTCTTGAAGTTTACCCGTTTAATCATTGCACTAACTAAATCTTCCAAGGAGCCACAATTATTAGAGATGTACTCGCCTTGGGACCTAGATTGCTCCAATAAGTTCAACTTCATGGTTGCGTCCATAACTGACTTCTCAATCTCATTATTCTGCAATATAAATGGAGCACCAGTATTTGATTGGCCAACCAAATTGGCATCTGTGTTTGTACTGCAGACCACACTATTCTGTCCCAAGCTCTGGTTTAAGGGACTCACAACACCATGGCTAGGCAAAGAAGAATTTAAGGATCTGAACATAAGATTTGAGCCATGGGTGTAATCTTGTTTATGGTCTTCCCATCCTTGCTTTGAGGGATAGGTCATACTCTGGCTTATACACGAACCAAAACCTCTGAAGTTCAAGAATTTTGGGTTATCATGTTGAACACTGTTACCAGATGGGCTACCTGCTTGGCATTGTACATCTCTTCTTGAATCCTGCAATGATGCAGTTACTACACTGGCAGTAGAAACATTGAGTGGGTTGCTCCCAAGATGAGAACCATTTGATGAATTATCATCTCTCAAACAACTAGAAGATAAATCTCCATTGTTAAAAGGATCACTTAGTGGCAAAGAGTTTGATGAAAACCCAGTTAATGGAACAGCACTTTGCCAGTTACCATTCAATCTTCCCTGATCTGGCAAGTGGGAAGAAACGCTACCACTAACATCAAAAGGGTCTGCATTCAGTGGAGCCACTCTAACAGAGGATTGATTTGTCAATCCTCCTCTATTTTGTGTCTGTTGTTGGTGTCCTTGTAATACCAAATGATTATTTGCAACACCGAGAAAAGAGTTGCTTGAGCTACCAATGGCCACCCCATTGTCTGAAAAGCTGCTGGCAACTGGAAAAACTTTTGGATCCCCAACTGAACTAGAAAACTCCCCAATGCAGGAAATGCCCTTGCTCTGCTGCAGCTGATCAAGATCCAAAGATGTTGGCATCCCATGGAGTAAGTTACCTTTTTGGTTTCCAGATAGGCTAACCTGCTGGAACTTCCCAAGATCATTGGAGTTGCTGGGGCTTTGAGAGCGACCTAGTTGAATCATTCCAGAAGAAGCAAGCCCACGCAAGCCTAATCCAGCAGGGGTATTCAATCTATTAAGCATCACACCTGGTGGGAAGGAAACAAGCGAAGAATTTGAGAGTTGTGTTGATCCATTCATGGAGTGAAAGTCTCCAAGTCCATCCAGTGAACTCATGCGCAAATAGGATGGATCTTTGACCCCTAAAGCAGCAACCATGTTTGCTTGCTGGTTTGCTACACAACTGATCCTTTTCAGGTAAAGCCTATATTTCTGCAACCATAAAATTTGGTAATGAGTTCTGGAAAAAAAATCATCTCATAAAAATAAGAAAGAAAACAGAAGGTTTTGTACCTGAAGGTGGCTTGCCACATTTTCTCTAGTAAGCCTTTCTACATTCATCAAGTCTAGAATCCGCTTTGGTACAGCCTCTGCAGCAAAAGGTAAAAGGCCAAAAAAATAAGAGAAAGATGGACTTAAGACATTAGCATATATAAGTTACAATGTATTATTGAATATTGATGAGGGTAGAAGGACATACTGTCAATACCCAATTGGTTAACAGCCGCAACAAATTTGCGGTGCAGCTCCACAGACCAAACAACCCGAGGCTTCTTCTGCGTGGATGGATCTTCATTCTCGTGCCCATTTTCCTCAGACTCCTCATCCTCATCCTCATTCTGGTCCTTCCGTTTCCTGTTGAATTTCCCATTCCGTTCTGTGTTTCCAGTTGCAGTTGGCCCTTGTCCACCTTCATTGTCTCCATGATGAGGCTTTTCTTGATGGTTAGAATTATTGTGACCCTTGGAGTCAAACTTCTTTCTCCTGACTACATGTTGCCATATGTTCTTGAGTTCCTCAAGTCGAACCGGTTTCAACAAATAGTCACAAGCACCATGAGTAATCCCCTTCATCACGACATTGGTATCACTATTTGCTGACAACACTAGGACCATTTCAAAAGATCAAAAAATTGATGTCAAAACTCTGCCAGTTGGCTACATGATACAATCCTTAATTTCTACAGAAATACTACAAATTGCTTAAAGTTGAATTTATAAAATTGACACAATAAAGTACAATTTTGATCTCGGTATACAATTAATAATCCAAGAAGCTCAATATCATAGGCTAATTACTTTGAAGCAAAATTCGGATTCATTATACCTACCAAAAAATGCAGATTAATTTTTGGGGGTTAAGTAAACTGCATAAGTTTTATTCAGTGTAAATATATCCCTTCAACAAAAAACCACATATACACACAAGAAAATGGGGACAAAGAAAACATCATTCCATATAAAAATCTGAAACAGGGTCCCTGGGCTTACTGATGACAGGTAGGTCCATTTCGAGCCCCACAAGTTCGAGAAGCTTAAAGCCATCCATGTCCGGCATATGGACATCACTGATAACAAGGTCGAATTTGTTTCTGTTTTCTCTCAACATCTTCAGTGCCGTGATAGCCTGGCTGGTTGTTGTAACTGCAAAAATCATAAAGCACCAATTTTTAGCAAAGCAACGCCACAACCATGTATAAAAAGATAAAATCTAACTAATACAAAACCAAAGACTTATCTGCAATGGCAAAAGGAACATATACCAGAGTTCAACAATAAAATGAAACTAAGCATCAACCCACTTGATAAAACTAAGAAATTACCATAAAGCCTCCTCAGTTAAGAAAGAGAGAAAGCCTTGAAAATCAACTTAGAGAGAGTCTATGATAAAAAGAAGAGAAAAAAGCAGAAAAGAAAAAAGAGAAAAAAAAAATGATTACATCAGAGAGGTCTAAACGAAAAGAAATAAAAATTTCAACCTAGTACTGAAGCACTTAAAATATTCAAACAAAGATAATGATAGAAACACCTGAACTAAGAAAGAGTGAAACATGAACAGCCCATTTACAAAACTTCACTTTCAAAAAAAAAAAAAATGAAAAGGGAAAATAGTAAAGGTTATAAGAATCGACCATTGTACTGGCATCGACGTAGCAGAGTATCTAATAACCTCAGACAAGTGGGATCGTCATCGACGGCAAGGATACGCATGCCCACCGGAAACTGATCCCTCGGTTCATCATCCCCGACAATTCCCAATCTTTCTTCAACCGTCATTCTTCAGTAACAGCTCTCTCCACAGACAAACAAGAACGGAGAAACAAAAACCCAGAAAAGAATCTTTCCAACCTTCAAGCTTCAGCCCTGAAGAGACCCACACCAGAACTATCTCTCCTCAGTCAAGTTCACCGAACTGGGAAATCATATAAGAAGAAACCCAGAGCAGAAACAGAGGCAAGGATAGAGAGTAAAACAAAAGCAGAGTCTAATCAAATGGGTAATCGAGGGGTGATAGAAAAGATTGACAGCAAAGAATGTCTTAGCAGAACAAGACGATTAGAGTCAGCAACGGAGCACGCTGGAGGACGGAGAAAGCGGAGAGAGAGAGAGAGGGAAGGAGGGAGAACTGAAGGCTTTTAACCCGAGAACACAGAAGAAATGAAAAAAAAAATAAGGAAAGGAATACAAAATAAGACAATAATCTCTGTATACATCTCCCATTTTTTTGCTCTAAAAATGCTTGTGAATATAGTAAGTTTAACAGAGACTTTTGGGGAGATTTAACCCAAGAGCATAATTAATTAATTATTTCCTTCTCTCTTTTTTTTTTCATTTTTTTCTTTTACGAATTTCAATGTTTTTGCAGGGTTTAGTTCTGGTGCTTCTTAATCCGGACACCCCCAATGGTCCATAGACCCCATCTTCCCACTATCATTTAGCTGGACCCACAACTTCATTGATCTTAGCCATTGGATTGGTGGCTGGTGGGCCACAGCTAGAAACTAGAATCATTTAACTTTATACAGCCGAAAAGAGAATGGAAATGATAGGGACATATTGTCTAAACTTTTGACAACTTTCTGGCCGTCCGATTGAGATCCTGGTTGTGGCCTTGCATGGATGCATTGGATTCCAATCCGAAGGTTACTGTACATTTTCTTGTGACAAATGTCATGGAACCCACATTAGATTGATGACTGGATGGGCAAGCAAGTGGCATGATATGAGAAGAGGCTTAGAGACCATTGCGCGTGATGGGCCAGTCTGATTAAATTAATTAATTAAAAAAGATTAACGAAAACAAACTCTAGAGGGGTATAATGGTCAAAGGACGGAATCTTCGACATAATTACGCTGAAGGATCCACACAGAATCCTGCCATTATGTTAGCATTGAAGGGTAATAATAAATTGCATTTCTTTTCCAGGACGCCATTTATTTCCTCTAATCATCCAGCGAAGCACTCCCATGCCATACAGTACGGGTTAATTAGTTATTAATTAACTATTCATTAATTATTTAGTGGTTCGTTCGTAAATACTTCGAGTATGAAGGTGCATTTATATTGAACGTACAAGAGCCTACACGTAAGAAGCTGCATCTTGCCACGTTTCGACACCTTATTTGTTGGATGGTCCAACCTGGACTTAATGAGATTCCAGGTTCAGAAAGATAATGTTGGGACGGATTTTGTTGGGAGCTCCGTTTGAAAATTGAAAGTGACATGTCGGCGTTGCGCCGTGTCGGCCGTAAAGAATGGAATGTAGATAAGACACGGCATCTACCGATCCGACTGTATCGGACTAGAATCGGTTATATCGTATCGGAATTTATGGGTTGGTGGACAGGACCAGTCAGAGACCCTGGGAGAAGGCTCTGTTGACGAGGGGGCTGAAGGCTGAAGGCTGAAGGCTGAAGCAGACACGCGTACGCGTGCTTCGCGGCTCTTAGGCCAGTATAAGCGGCCCATTAAGATAATAGTTGTTTTCGCTTTTCTTTTTTCTTTTTTGCCTTTTTAGGTTTTCCCTTTCCTCTGTGATTTGTGAAGCCTTCTGTTTTTTAATTAATAATAATAAATTTGAGTGCATATCGGTTCTGAAAGAGTTAAACCGATATTTTTTTTTTGTTTGTGCCGGTTAGCTCTTTGTTCCCAGTAAGGCTTCGTTTGGGACGGCTTCCGATAAGCACTTCTGTACCTTATTGCTTATTAGAAGCCAAAATCATCTCAAAAAAGTTGGGAATGGTATTCGGTGAAAAAAGAAATAAAACATTTTGGGGGAAGATCTACCCCCGTCTTGCGTAGCTCTTTTGATTTCCCATAAAAAAAAAAGAAAAAACATTTTTTGGCCCAAAAAATCCAGAAGAAAAAAAACCCATGTGAAAACTTCATTTTGGAGTAGGATTGTTCGCGGGTCAGGTTGGGTCAGTTTAATAGATTTTTTTTTCAACCAACCTGACCTGGTTGGGTTACTTAAAGAGCAAGTCGAAACTGACATGCCATTAAGCAAAACCGACCCAAACATAAAGGGTCGGTTTTGGTTGGTTTGTTCGGTTTGGCATTGTTTGCAAACGACCCTATATTTGGTGTAAAATTTCTTACTCAAAAAAAGAAAACAATCCTAAAGACAAAAGTAATTCTCATTTAACTAATGTTTTATTGTTCTTTAATGTTAAAAATAAATAACTAACTAGAAAGAAGAAATTAGGATAGGGATTATCTAATTAGGAAAAGACTAGGAAATCAGAAATTAACTCAGTTTGATTCAGTTTTCGATTGAAACTGAACCGAATTATCGGTTTGTCCCTCTTTACAACCCAAAACCGACTAGTGGTGAAGAAAAATTGACCAAATTGGGTTGGGTCGGTTTGGCATTGTTTGTGAACAACCCTATTTTGGAGAATCCTTTTTACAAAGAAAATCAGGTTTAGAACATTACACCAAATGCTCAAAATGCACTTATCTAACAAGTGCTTATTATTTTAAACTGCTTATTTAAAACCCATTTAGAAGAGAAAAATTGCCAAACACCACCTAAATATCAAGAATCTACTCCATTAATGGTAGGGTTGTTCATAAGAAGGCCCAACCCGACCAAACCGACCAAACCGACCAACCCGGACCGACCCAACCTGAGTCGGCCGGGTTTTCATCAGCACCGGCCGGTTTCAGGTTGGGCAAATTCATAAACCGATATATCGAGTCAGTTTTGGTTTTCTTGTGTGAAAACCAAAACCGACCCGAATCGAACCGAGCCAACTAGTCTTCTAGTTCGGTAGTTCCTACTTAACTAGTTTTCTAGTTCCTACTTAACTAAATTGTTTCTATCCTAGTTTCTATAGTCTTTTACACCAAATAGGAAACCTATTAGGCAATTACAATTAGAATTATGTGTCCTTTTTTACCTAGATTAGAATTTAGAAAGTTTATTGAAATATAAATATTTCAGCCTTCTTTCTATAAAACAGTTTGACTTTCTATTTTATCGATAACTTTTGTCTTCTCTTCTATTTTCTAACTTGGTTCGCCCCCCTCAAGTCCTCATTACGCAATTACAATTAGAATTAGGTGTCCTTTTTTACCTAGATTAGAATTTAGAAAGTTTCTTGAAATATAAATATTTCAGCCTTCTTTCTAWAAAAYAGTTTGACTTTCTATTTTATTGATAACTTTTGTCTTCTCTTCTATTCTCTAACTTGGTTCGCCCCCCTCAAGTCCTCAACTCAAGACATCATTTGATTTTTGAACTTGGCTCTCCCAACTTTCCCATCTTCTCAAATAAATTTCCTTCTAGTTCTAGGCTTCTCTGTCCTTTTTGTACAGGAGCAAAACCGAAACCGACTCAAACCGATCCAACTTGACTCAAATCGACTAGGTCGGTTTTGCCTATCAGTGGGCCAGTTTCGGTTTCCACCTCAAGTAATCCAACCAGGTCTTGTCGGTTGGAAAAACCCCAATAAACCGACCCAACCCGACCCGTAAACAAACCCTAATTAATGGGTAGAGATTCTATGGTAAGTGATTTTCTGGTTTTTAAATAAGGGTAGGGATAGTGTTAATACAAAGTACACCGATGTATTTGGAAAACGACCAAACAAGTCAGCGCAAAAGATAAATTGATCATGTGTTACTTTTACACTGTTGTTTGTTTGGAAGATCAATATAAATCATGAGAGTATTTTCTAATTGTGTTTGGCATTAACATGAGTGTAAAACAAACAAATATATTTTGGGTTGTCTTCAGATCTGAAACAAGTTGACATCACTCCCTCAAATCTAAAGGACAACGTCTAGATCTAGCTTGGTGTGTATCTTCTTCTTGTTTTATTGCAAGATGGGGATGATGAGATGTCTGGGAGCGTCTTCTGTGTTCTGCGTTCAAACCTATCACAATGAGAACAAACAGTGAGAGAAGAAGAAGAAAAAAAAGAAGAAGAAGAAGAGAAACCTGTCACAAGGAGAACAGACACTGAGAGAGAAGAAGAGAGAGGGAGAGAGAGGGGGAGTGGAAATGACGGTGGTGGATGGTGCTAGCAAATGAACTTGTACGATGAAGTAAAAATTGACGGTAACAGAGATAGAGAGAGAGGAGGAGAAGAAAGGGCTATTGCTTTCACATCAAGTTACTTTGATCGAGTTTTTACACTGAAAAAATTAATGTATTTTATATATCGATTGTCGAAGTAAAAAGGCTTTGAAGGTGAAGTTTTACATTGATGTTCGGTGTGCTTTTACACCCCATCCAAACAGCTGCAAACTGGACCAGAGTGTAAAAGTACACCGAACCAACTTTTACGCCGCATCCAAACGAAACCTTAGGAACCCAGGTCCTACCCTACTAATAATATTTTTGACCATTCGATTTCTTCTAGTCAAAAACTCAACCGGATCTAAGCCCACTATTTATTTTCTGTATCATTGTGGGTCTTGATATCCTATACTTTTTGCGTAAAAATTGATAGGTGGGATGTATGTAGGCAAAGCGTTGCATATCCGTATGAATTCAACGAGGTGAATCAACCAACATAGGAAGAGTAAAAGACCAGGACAGTCGGATCGGTTTTGCCACCGTTTTTCATGATTTCCACGTGTTCTGCACGAGAAGCTAGAATGGTAGGCTTTATTTAATTTTAGTTTTTTACTTTTCAAAGCAAAAGCAAATTGTAGCATAACAATGAGTTGACTCGGATTCAATGGCCTCCTAGATGACAATGCAAAGTAGAAACAGTGAGGTTGGCTCTTATAATCAATGTCCTACTGTCCTTGTCCTAAAGGTTATATATAGCTTGGCTTGAAGTGTTTGGCGTATTGGTCAAATACATAACACAGTGTCGTAGGACTTGGATTATCGGTTGTTACAGTTTTTAGGTGGTTATGTAGTGTCTTAAAAATTGATCCGAAGGATGATCCATTCTTTCTAGGTGGTGTATATGTTGTTCAATCATTTAGCTCAAATGGATTAATCTATTTTCTTTTATGAATTAATAAGAAATCTAAAAGATGAAATTAAGACCACTGAACATTAAAATTTTCATTATACAAAATTATGATTTCTGAAAGTTTTCTTGTAGTCATGACTGATTGATTATGTCAAATAGGTTGGTTTGAGGCTGACACAAATTAGAATCATGACAAGGGGCAGGTGGAATGGTTTAACCAGATGGGTCAATGATGAGTTGGAAGCGTAGTGTCAAGTTCTTAAAAATGTGACTTGGCAAAACCTTTCTTTTGCATGTATGT